CCCCAAAACCCCAAAACCCCAAAACCCCAGAAGAGTCTTTCAGGAATTGATAACAACATATATCACCCACATTTCTCACCAGAACCCCTAAAACAAGCATACCCTACTCTTCACCACCCCCTTCCCTCCTTCCCTCCCTCCCTCTACCCTCCCTCCCTCTACCCTCCCTTAATCCTCTAAACCTTCCTCCCCATCCAACTCCTTATCTTCTTCCTGATCCCTCTGAAACTAGCCACAGCATTACTTAAACCAGGAAGAAATAGAGAAAAGGAGTTTTGGTAGTAGAAATTTGAGATAATAGGTTTTAAGCGGAGGTAGAAGAGATCGAGTGTTTGGAAGAGGGGTGATGGGGTTCAAGTGGGAGAGTGGATTGTGAGTGGGAGATTCAGAGGGAGTTTGTGGGAAGGGGAAGGTTTTGGTGGGGATTTTGGGGTAAAAGTGGAGTCAGAGATATAGGTTAGGGATGTTGAGTTAAGGAGAGTGTCGATAAGAGAAGATTAAGGTAAAAAAGCAAAAATTACTTCAAGTCTGGAAGGGAGCCCATCTAATCACTTAATGAAGGATTATAGCATTCTTGGAAGGTGAGATATTGAAGAGTGTTTTCTGTCAGGAAATATTTTTATGTTCTCTGTGTGCAAAATACATTTTGAAATCTCAGTGAGGGAGTTAAACATATCCTGGTGTAAAAGGTGGTTGCTAGTTTTTGTCAAAACTTTATATGGGAGAAGTATGGTTCCTTTATCAAATGGAGTACAATTCTTATAATTGATGGCAATATTGTTTTAATTTCATAAATATCTTCAGAGTTTTTTTGGCCTTATGCATAACTCGTTTATTCCAGCTGCTATACATATTTTTATAAAATCGTAAATATAATTAATGTTTTGAGAAATTTAGATATACTTCTTTCATTAAATTTATACATAGAGAGAAAGATTCAAGAAGAAATAAATCTAGAGTATGTATTCTCAGAATCTTTAGGCCATCTGGTAATACAAATATTAATATCTTCGAGCATTCTTCCATGATACTTCCTGTTGTGTATCATCATTCAATTAAAGTGAATCTTAGTGCCAGGCCAATTTCCTGTGCGATAAGGACGATAGAAGTAATTTTGGGCATCAAGCTTCATCTCTTCAGTTAAGATAATATTTTCACCATTAGTTGGATATTTATTCATAAGTTTTTAATTTAGTTTCTATTATTTTAGAATTCATAGGGGTTTTGGGGTTTTGGGGTTTTGGGG